TATATATATATATACATATATATATATATATATATATATATATATATATATATATATATATATATATATATATATATATATATATATATATATATATATATATATATATATATATATATATATATATAAATTGTTGCAAGTCGAGCAACAAATATTTTACATTGAACAACAAATGAGATTGGAAAAGCAGTATTGCCACCTCTGCTATACAGAAAAAAATAGACCCCAGACACACCCTGTGGGTAGTAATGGACCCCCATACCGACACTATGAGGGGTAGTGGACCCCATAATAACACTATGGGCGGTAGTGGACACTATACAAACACTATGGGCGGTAGTTGACTTCATAGCGACCCTGTGGGCGGTAGTGGACCCCCTGCCGACCCTGTGGGCGGCAGTGGACCCCCTACCGACCCTGTGGGCGGCAGTGGACCCCCTACCAACCCTGTGGGCGGTAGTGGACCCCTACCGACCCTGTGGACGCCCTACCGACCCTGTGGGCGGTAGTGGACCCCATACCGACCCTGTGGGTGGCAGTGGACTCCATACCGACCCTGTGGGTGGCAGTGGACCCCATACCGACCCTGTGGGCGGTAGTGAACCCCCTACCGACCCTGTGGGCGGCAGTTGACCCCCTACCGACCCTGTGGGCGGTAGTGAACCCCATACCGACCCTGTGGGCGGCAGTGGACCCATACCGACCCTGTGGGCGGCATACCCCCTACCGATCCTGTGGGGGCGATACTGGACCCTATACTCATCCTGTGGGCGGCAATGGACGCCATACACATCCAGTGGGTGTTATTGGACCCCATACTTATTCTGTGGGTGGTTGGAGCCCCATACACATCCTGTGGGTGATAGTGGACGCCATACTCATCCTGTGGGTGGTATTGGACCCCATACCCATCCTGTGGGTGGTTGTGAGCCCCATACCCATCCTGTCGGTGGTAGTGGACGCCATACACATCCAGTGGATGGTATTGGACCCCATACCCTTCCTGTGGGTGGAAGTGATCCCCAAGTTTGCAGTAGTTTACCCCATAAACATTCCAACATAACATCGTTTTCTGTTAGCGTTCCTACAAAACATTCTTTAAAGATTTTTAAAGCGCAAACTATGGTATATAATATTGATTGGTGAAGCACTGTTATTCTATGTAATAATTTATAGTGCTTATTATAATTTACTAAGAACAACTAATATTTCTCAAAACAAAACTACGAGCCTTCAATAGGATGTAGCTGATCTGTAATATTCTAAGAGCATGGACAATAGTAGGTAAATTTCACAACCCATGTGGGACCTGAAAACTACAATTTTCATTATAATTGAACCAATCACGACTATTCTGCTATCTACGTTGATGGACGGGTACTGTGAGACGTAAATTGGTACGTGAGGAAGAGTTTGGGCCTTGGTAAAAAAGGTAACTGGAAATATATCACATATGTACTAAATCACATTCAACATATTGACTTTAAGCATTAAGTCATATATGTGCTGTCTTGTGTGAGAACGGGTTGTCAACCAGTCTTCCGACCTGCCAGCCTGTTGCCGTTCTTCCTTCTCTCCTGCCAGCCTGCCTGCCAGCTTACCTGCCGTACTACTAGCCTGCCTGCCGTCATGACACACTTCTTGCCATGATATTAGTATGCCTCACAGCCTGTCAGTCAATCTGAAAGCCTTCCTGCCAGTCTGCAGGACGACTCGCCTGCCAGTTAATCTGCTGTCCTGCCAACCTGACTCTCATCCTTCCCGCCTGAATCATGCCTCCCAGCCTGCTTGCAATCCTGCCTCCCAGACTCCATGCCACCCTGTCAACCTGCCTGCCATTTTGCAAACCTACCAGCCTGATTGTCATTCTGCTTCACCTCCTGCTTTTTGGCCATTCTGCAAGCCTGTCTTCCTTCCTGATGGCCTGCCTTCCAGATCGCTTGCCTCTGTCTGCCTTTCTGTCTCCCTGCCTATTATCTTGCCTTCCTGTCAGCCTGACTGCCTGCTTGCCTATTTTCTTGAATGTCGGGCTAGTTTACTGACTAACTTGCGTGGGGGCGACTGCTGGTGTGGGTGGAGTTGTACAATTTATTTAGATACTTCGTAATACAGGTGTTCACTTCTTTGTTTATCCATAGTTTACTGGGGCTTGCACCATAATCTCCAATTCTTTGTGCGCTGGGTGCAGTTTCTGCAGTGGGTGAGAGGTCTACGTGTGTATGAGTTCATCACACTTTTCTTGTATCAGTAGCGTCACTCACTGAGGCCATCCACACACACTCACACACACCTGATTGTTGGTGTCGTGTAGACGTCAGTAGTAAAGGTGGCGTCTCTGGTCTTGACGTATACGTCGAGGAGAGGGAATGCACAGTCGATACGAAGTTCATGTGTGAACTGAAGTACTGAGGACTCGGTAAAAATTGAAAGACTCATGGATCACAACCGCATGGAATGTAAAATGGGACAAATGGAAAAATTTTACATTGCTCATGTGTATCATGTAAATGGAAATTTGAAACCAAAATGATCTTCTGTCATGTTAGAGATCCTAATCATCCTATTCATTGGTCTTCCTCTTAAATAATCTTTCCTACCTCTACACAGACGCCGTCTTGTCGAATCGGCTCTGATACACAACCTAGTCCTGACTTTGTTGCTGTTGACTCTTCCCTTTCACAGTATGTATTCAAATGGCTTACACTTTCTAACAAACGTGACCTAACATAATCCTACCCTTCCTGTTATCTATGTTTTTCTTTCTCTTACGATCCCTTTCTTATTCCTATTATTACACCCTTTATTACACTTTACCTTCCGTACCTTTTGCCTTGCTCTTATCTTCCTCTAAAATTTCCATCTCCTCATTTCTCTCTCTTGCCTACTTAATGCCCTTGCCTCCCGCGTCTCATCACAATCGACTTGATAATGGTCTAGGACGGTCCGAAACGTCGTCGTCTCTTAAATTTCTAGTGAGTGGTTTGGTAAACATTTTTCAGCCACGTTATTATGACTCATCATCTGAATATATAATTATACATGAATAAATGGATCCAGATAATATGTGCATGGAGATAGAGATGTTATACTCACCTGACAATCACTGTAACGTCAGATTACAGGCCGAAGGCACAGCTTGAGGATTCCTGAGGTCCCTTTCTGCCTCTTTAACTCAAACTTCAAGACATAGTCAGTAATGATTATAAATTGTCAGGTGAAGAGCATTGTAGTTGCATAAGTATATCAAGTTAATATTAGGGAGAGAGGTAAAGTGTTCAGTCAATCGCTCTTATACCGACCCAATAACAAGGATTTAAGTATCCATATGATGCAGACGAAGGGCTGCTCGCTGCTCCAGCCCATTCTCCCATACGTTTCTAACGTTCTAAACTGATGTACTAAATTACCTGAAATTACCCTACACGAGGACCCACTAACAGAAAAAAGAGTACGAACATTTTGCGAGCCGCTACGATTTATTGTGCTTCAGTTTTTGGCCTAAGTAACTCTATGTCAAATTCCGATGTAATTTTGGAGCAGCAAGCTCCCATTCCTTAACATTTTCTATATTTACACATTTATCAGTGGTAAATGGTAAATAATTATTAATAATATTACTATTAATAACTTATTAATAATATTACTATTAATAACTTATTAATAATTATCTTGATAACATAATTCTTTATAGTTTGATGATAAATTTAATGTGCTCATAATTGTGATTATTGTGCAGCATTGAATTGTGTCAAATGTGGAAAGATTAGACTGTTTTAAATTTCAAATAATACAAATCGTGTTTGTCACGATTCAATTGTTGACTTTATTTTATTAACTAGGCTATCGTTCTGGTGTTAAAATTTCCAAATTCAAGATATTGTATTGTGTTGATATTATTTAATGGTAAAGCTTACTCTACCTGTTATTTCTCCCTACCATGTGGAAAAATCTTTCCCTCGTTAGAAACTTATAGAAAGAGTTTACAAGATTTTTGTCACTTATGCAGTTTCTCAAATTTTTATTGACAATAAAATTTTTATTACTTTATATAAAACAGTGGAAATATTTTTATCTTAAATTGTAACCCACTTATTGAATACTTGACCCTAAAACAATTATTTAACTTAAAGGTAAAAAGAGTAATTAATTGTTGGAGTAGTTGCCCAGTAGTACATGTTCTATATCTACTACTTCTATAGACAAACTGACTTTTAACTCTGGGAGGCAGTAAAGTTGCTAGCTTTCTCACTCCGTGTAGCCAAGTATACTTTAACAGACACGTTTAGCTAAAATAACAGGTAATGTAGCATGTATTATATATACCTAATAACAATGAAACATCTCCAGGTATGTAGTATATTGCCAGCCACGAAAAACCCGTTACAAAGTATAATATTTCTGAAATCAGTGGTATACATCCGTCCCTTTAAACCACAGCTGGAAATGTAGCAGAGTTGCACCTTCAGCTGGTGTATGAAATTTCATGACAATTCTCTGTCGACCATTAAATTAAAGCTATATGGACATAGGGCACCTCTGTTCAATTACTTTATAACTCTTAAGGTATGGTAACTTTGCTTACAAACTGCCTATGATCTATTACGCTAGTCTCTGTGAATCACAAGAAAAACTATAACCTAATGCATGAAACATATCAAGACATTAGCCTAGTTTCTTGATACGTTATTACATAGACATATAACAGGATTTGTATGTTATTCCAAATTAGGTACTAACATTTCAAAATGCTGCCATCACAAATAAGAAATAAATAAAACATTCAATTTCCCATGTAAACTTAACACATTACATGTCTACTGGTCAATTTGCATATGCTGACTGTTTACTTAATCATAAACCTTCATTTGCATATTTAACATGCCACATGTGCTTTTGTAAGTAATCTGTTCTCATCTGGTGTGCAATTTCACCTACGTTAATGAACCTTTTTTATTTTAAATTATGAAGAACAGCCTTGTTCATAACATGATAACACATACCTTGACGAGTTGGATAAGTTGAGGACAGAGTAGATGTAAACAGGTAGGCAGTTGTCAGGTCAGCATGTGATGGATCAGCAGATGATGGATCAGCAGATGATGGATCAGCAGGCGATGAGTCACCAGATGATGGATCAGCAGGCGATGAGTCACCAGATGATGGATCAGCAGGCGATGAGTCACCAGATGATGGATCAGCAGGTACCATGTCAGCAGGCAGAGTGCCAGCAGACAACGTTTCAACCGGCAGGATATCAGCAAGCACCGTGCCAACAGGCAGAGTGTTAGTAGGAATCATGTCAACTAACTCCATGTCAACAGTCACCATGTCAGCAGGTACTGTGCCATCAGGCACCATACTAACAAGCACGGTGTCAGAAGGGGCCTGGAGAGGCAGGGTGTCAGCAGGGGCCGGGAGAGGCAGGGAGTCAGCAGAGGCCGGGGGAGGCAGGATATCAGCAGGGGTCTGGAGAGACAGAGTATCATCAGGGGCCTGGAGAGGCAGGGTGTCAGCAGGGGCCGGGACAGGCAGGGTGTGGACAAGAGACACCGTAGCAGCCATCACAATAAACAGCCGCAACACTGCAGAAGTCGTCACCAAACTCTGCCTCTTCCTTGCACTGTTAATCCTGACTTTCTTGTTGTGTTGTTTCCGGTGGCCATTGTGGTGGTGTTGACTCATCTTTGGCTCCGGCCACAACTGCTGCTGCTATAGAGTACTTATGGATGTGCAGCTTATTCCTGTGTTGCTGTTGCTGTTCTCAGGCACTGCTCTGTCGCCTGGTCTTGCAACAGCTGCTGTACTCATCAGATTCTGCTCTTGCTCCTAGCAATGTTCTTCACTGTAATAGAAAAGAGATAAAATATTGCAATTAAAATCAAATTTGTATATAAAATCCAAATGCTTAAGTTATTGCCATGCAATAACGTATGCATTATATTTAAGTCTTTATTTCTTATTTCTTGCTGGAACCATTTAAACCTTCCTATTAGTTCCACTTTATACAATGACCATCCATTAATTAATAATTAAATCAATTATACATCATAAATAAAATTACACTAAATTAAATAATTTTTTAATATCTATTTTTTTTTATCAAGGGGAAAGCGCCAAGCTCTTACGAATTTATAGAGCTGGGAAGGGGTCAGGATAAGGATTTGGGATGGGACGGGGGAAAGTAATGGTGCCCAACCACTTGGACGGTCGGGGATTGAATGCCGACCTGCATGAAGCGAGACCCACAATACCTGCCTGGCGAGTACATCCTCGCACCATGACCATCCATAACTTACTGGCAACAATGTTGTATCCACATTATTTTGTAAACATTAGTTACTCTCTCAACGTACCGGCGGCGTAAGTAGTGGATGGAGCGTGAGGAGGAGTATGTAAGTGGCAAATGGATTGGAGCCAGTGAGCGGGAGGCACTCTGGGTCAGCGGTCAGGGAGGAAGGCAAGGTGTGGCTACACAGGACTCCAGTAGAGGCAGCGAGTCACAGACGTGACCTCAAGTGCAATATGAGACGGTCAGTGTTAGGCCTCATTTATTGTGAGAACACTGTTGACATGTTGACCGGAAGTGGTTTGGGAAGGCTCAATACTTAGAGGAGGTTGAATAAAAGAGACGCCTGCAATGTGGCATATTTAATTCTGCAAAGGACCATGATGCTGGTGGTGTAGACCTGGTATGGTGAGGACCATGATGCTGGTGGTGTGGACCTGGTATAGTGAGGACCATGATGCTGGTGGTGTGGACCTGGTATAGTGAGGACCTTGATGCTGGTGGTGTGTACCTGGTATGGTGAGGACCGTGATGCTGGTGGTGTGGACCTGGTATGGTGAGGACCCTGATGCTGGTGGTGTGGACCAGGTATGGTGAGGACCGTGATGCTGGTGGTGTGGACCTAGTATGGTGAGGACCATGGTGGTATGGACCTGGTATGGTGAGGACCATGGTGGTGTACTCACCTAATTGTACTCACCTAATTGTGCTTGCGGGGGTTGAGCTTTAGCTCTTTGGTCCCGCCTCTCAACTGTCAATCAACTGGTGTAAAGATTCCTGGGCCTACTGGGCTCTATCATATCTACATTTGAAACTGTGTATGGAGTCAGCCTCCACCACATCACTTCCTAGTGCATTCCATTTATTAACTACTCTGACACTGAAAAAATTCTTTCTAACGTCTCTGTGGCTCATCTGGGTACTAAGTTTCCACCTGTGTCCCCTTGTTCGTGTCCCACCCGTGCTGAAGAGTTTGTCTTTGTCCACCCTGTCAATTCCCCTGAGAATTTTGTAGGTGGTTATCATGTCTCCCCTTACTCTTCTGTTTTCCAGGGATGTGAGGTTCAGCTCCTTTAGCCTTTCCTCGTAGCTCAATCCTCTCAGTTCCGGGACGAGCCTGGTGGCATACCGCTGAATCTTCTCTAACTTTGTCTTGTGTTTAACTAGGTATGGACTCCAGGCTGGAGCTGCATACTCCAGGATTGGTCTTACATAAGTGATATACAGGGTTCTGAAAGATTCCTTACACAAGTTTCTGAAGGCAGTTCTTATGTTGGCCAGTCTAGCATATGCCGCTGATGATACTCTTTTGATGTGGGCCTCTGGGGACAGGTTCGGTGTGATATCAACCCCCAGATCCTTCTCTCTATTTGATTCTTGCAGGATTTCCCCTCCCAGATGATACCTTGTGTTCAGCCTCCTGCTCCCTTCGCCTAATTTCATCACCTTACACTTTCCAGAGTTGAACTACAGCAGCCATTTTCTAGACCATTCCTCCAGTTTATCCAGGTCATCCTGTCTCTGTCTATCTTCATCCGTCTTGATTCTTCTCATAATTTTTGCATCATCAGCAAACATCGAGAGGAATGAGTCTATTCCCTCTGGAAGATCGTTCACATATATTAGAAACAGGATGGGTCCAAGTACTGAGTCCTGTGGGACTCCGCTGGTGACATCTCGCCACTCTGATGTCTTCCCCCTCACCGTTACTCGCTGTTTCCTGTTGCTTAAGTACTCCCTTATCCACTGGAGCACCTTCCCTTTTACTCCTGCCTGTTGCTCCAACTTTTTTAACAAGCCTTTTATGGGGTACTGTGTCAAAGGCTTTTTGGCAATCCAGGAGAATGCAGTCGGCCCACCCTTCTCTTTCCTGCCTAATTTTCGTTGCCTGGTCATAAAATTCTATTAAACCTGTGAGGCACGATTTACCATCTCTGAACCCATGTTGGTGGTGCGTTACAAAGTTATTTCCCTCCAGATGCTCTATGAGCCTTTTCCTCACGATCTTCTCCAGCACCTTGCATGGTATACAAGTTAAGGAAACTGGCCTGTAATTCAGTGCCTCTTGCCTGTCACCCTTTTTGTATATTGGGACCACATTAGCTGTCTTCCAACTTTCTGGTAAGTCTCCTGTTTCCAGTGACCTGTTATACACCATAGAGAGTGGCACACTTAGTGCTTCTGCACCTTCCTTTAGTATCCATGGTGAGATTCTATCAGGCCCAACAGCCTTTGTCACATCTAGCTCCAGCAGACACCTTTTGACCTCATCACTGGTGAGGTCAAATTCCTCCAAGGTTGCTTGGTTTGCCGCCTCCTCATTTAGTGCAGGGGCTTCTCCTTGTTCTATTGTGAAGATCTCCTGGAATCTCTTGTTGAGTTCTTCACACACCTCCTTGTCATTCTCTGTGTATCTGTTCTCCCCTTTCCGCAGCTTCATCACTTGTTCCTTCACTGCTGTTTTCCTCCTGATATGGCTGTGGAGCAGCTTTGGTTGGGTCTTGGCTTTACTCGCGATGTCATTTTCAAACTGTCTCTCTGCTTCCCTCCTCACTCTGATGTACTCATTTCTGGCCCTCTGGTATCTCTCCCTGCTCTCTGGTGTTCTGTTATTTCTGTAGTTTCTCCATGTTCTTTTACTCAGTTGTTTCGCTACCTTACATTCCTGGTTGAACCATGGGTTTTTCTGTTGTTTTTCGTTTTTCTCCTTTTGGACGGGGATAAACCTGTCTGCAGCTTCCTGGCACTTTTGGGTGACAATATCCATCATGACCTGCACATTCTTGTCTCTAAGTTCTGTTTCCCATGGTATTCCCCTGAGGAAGTTCCTCATCTCGTCATATTTTCCTCTTCGGTAATTCAGTCTTTTCCCCTCCACTCCCATCCTTGGATAGGTTATCCCTACCTCCACCAAGTACTCAAAGGTCAGTACACTGTGGTCACTCATTCCTATGGGGGCTTCAACTTTGACTTCCCTTATTTCTGACTCATTCAAGGTGAATATTAAGTCGAGTCTAGCTGGTTCATCATTGCCTCTCATTCTTGTGGGTTCCTTGACATGCTGGCTCAGAAAATTCCTTGTTGCCACTTCCAAGAGTTTAGCTCGCCACGTATCTGCACCACCATGTTGGTCCCCATTCTCTCAGTCTATCTTTCCATGGTTGAAATCACCCATGATTAAGAGTCTTCAGCCATTCCTGCAGGCAACTGAAGCTGCTCTCTCTATTATTTTAATGGTTGCCATGTTGTTCCTATCAAACTCCTGTCTAGGTCTTCTGTCACTTAGGGGAGGGTTGTAAATGACTGTCACTATTATCTTAGGTCCACCCATTGTTATAGTTCCTGTTATGTAATGTCTGAATCCGTCACAGCCCGGAATTTCCATCTCATCAAAACTCCAGTCCTTCCTAATCAGCAGGGCCACTCCTCCACCTCCTCTCCCTTCCCTCTCTTTCCTTACTATATAGTAGTCCTTTGAAAACACAGCATCTGTTATGACTCCTGAAAATTTTGTTTCTGTTAGTCCTATTACATCAGGGTTTTCTTCTTGCACCCTTTCTGCCAGTTCACTTGCTTTATTGGTAATCCCATCAATGTTTGAGTACATTACCTTGAAGCTCACTTTCTTATATCCAATTTCACCCACACTCCCTACAAGTGTAGGAGGTTGTTCTATGGTCAATGCTACTTGGGTAGGCTCCTCCTCCTGTGAGGTAGTTGCCAGGAGTTCAGGGGGAGGTGGAGTGGGGGGTGGAGGGCTTAGGTCTTCCTCAGGTCTGCTTGGGTCAGGAAGAAGTCCTGGGGGTGAGGGAGCAGGGTTTGCTTGGGGAGAGGGCACGCCCTCCTGCGGTGTGGTTGACAGGGATTTGGAGGGAGGTGGAGTGGGGGATAGAGGGTGGGGGATGCGGCGTGTGGACCTAGTATGATGTGGACCATGGTGGTATGGTGAGGACCATGGTGGTATGGTGAGGACCATGGTGGTATGGTGAGGACCATGGTGGTATGGTGAGGACCATGGTGGTATGGACCTGGTATGGTGAGGACCATGGTGGTGTGGACCTAGTATGGTGAGGACCATGGTGGTATGGACCTACAATAGTGAGGACCATGGTGGTATGGACCTGGTTTGGTGAGGACCATGATGCTGGTGGTGTGGACCTGGTATGGTGAGGACCATGATGCTGGTGGTGTGGACCTGGTATGGTGAGGACCATGATGCTGGTGGTGGTGTGGACCTGATATGGTGAGGACCATGATGCTGGTGGTGGTGTGGACCTGTTATGGTGAGGACCTTGATGCTGGTGGTGTGGACCTGGTATGGTGAGGACAGTGATGCTGGTGGTGGTGTGGACCTGGTATGGTGAGGACCATGATGCTGGTTGTGGTGTGGACCTGGTATGGTGAGGACCTTGATGCTGGTGGTGTGGACCTGGTATGGTGAGGACAGTGATGTTGGTGGTGTGGACCTGGTATGGTGAGGACCATGATGCTGGTGGTGTGGACCTGGTATGGTGAGGACAGTGATGCTGGTGGTGTGGACCTGGTATGGTGAGGAC